GTTTGGTCCTTTGTGAACCTCCATTGCCGGCTTAAAGTTCCGTTGAAGCCCACCGCTCGTGGCCATGAGCCGGATTTCACAACGCACCCGTTCAACCCAATTGCCCCAATTTCTATGGCTCAATAGCTGCGCCGGTTATGGATTTTTGCCAGTGAACAGGTTACCGAGTTTGTGGGCCCCCATTTTTATATTGTTTTTACGCTATTTTTGTGTTGCTTTTAGGTTATTTTTATGTTGCTTGAAAATGTTATATTGTTAAATTTTTTTATATATTAATAAAATGAGTTGTTTTTTACTGATTTGTGTCTACCAACTTGTTTGGGCACTTTAATTATTATAATTTTTTTATTTGTTATTATTATTTTTTATGTGTATTTTGCTCTTCCTTAATCCTTACAATGTCAAGATGTGACCAACTATCATACAACTATCAACCAAATTGATGTATCTATTTTTTATTTTATTCTTTTCTTTTTTTAAAAAAAAATTATTTCTTCTTGAAAGATGTTTTTCTTTATGTTTCGATGTCAAAGGGAAAACTACGGGAACTTACAAAGAGTGATTAATTAGTGTGGCAATATTTTCTGAATGATTCGGTCTTATGTTTAACTTTTCTTTTGTTGTTGAAGTTTTGTTTTCTCTTTTAATCTGATTTAAGTATTATGTACATAACCAATTGATTAATTTTTTTTTTTTTTTGGTTTATTTCTTTAGGCATTCAAGAAGAAGAATTTAAGAAGAAGAAAGAGATAAGTGCAGAAGAGAAAAAAAAATAACGAGAAGTGTGGGAGTTAGAAGGAAGAGAGAGAAAGAGGGCAGTTAAAATTTTGAATTACTGTAACTCCTTGTTGGAGTATTTTTGACTCCTTGTTGGAGTAATTTTGAAATTCAATATATTTAAGCATTTTTATGGAATTCTTTTTCATAACTAGGTTAGTTAGTCGGTGAAATATTAGTCTTATTGTCTTATAATATACACACAATATACAATTAAACCTCAACTTACTATTATGGGTCCTCCCTTCCAACATGATGACATATCAAATGGAAAATAGGCATACCTGTTACCCTAATTGAAAGAAGAGTAATGCTATGTGAACAACCATGTTGACAACTTGGTTGACAACTTGAGATGTACGGTTGAGATGATCATAAATTAACGGTTAAGATTCCTTAATTTATTATCTTTTTTACTTTTGAATAAAGTGTAATAAATAGAATATCCAAAACACCCTTGTAAATAGCAAGTGTTCTTGTGCTATTTGTTATGATTTTTATCCCGCCGTTAATTGTCTTAACATTCCGGATAAATTATCTATTCTATCTGACATATCAGCTAGAGATCGTTTCTCTGAGACTGATAATCTACTTGATTCTCCTATAATCAAAGAATTTTCTTTAATCTGCATAGGATTTTTATTTCCTATCACAGTTTTTCCTTTAGCTATATCAATAGCCCAGTGTTCTTCTAGAGGTGCTAATTCACAGAAGGTTTTTTCTTCTACTGAACCTATATCTGAAAAGATATCTTCTAGTTCAATATAAGATTTTTTCCTATAATCTATACTATGGTGACTATTACTCAAAGCATAGCTTATAACGTATGTAACACTAAAGACTTTATCTCCAGGGTTCATTAGATTTTCTCTTTCAAAGTGATGAATGAAAGATAATGTTCTATCTAAATTTGCAGTTTGAATAGACATGCCAAATTTAGGATAAACTGTGAAAATAAACTTACCATAAGCAAGGTTTCCCCTTGCTGCTCCTAAGATACAGTCTTTTCTGTCATTAATTCTATCATCAATTAATGCCATCTTTATAGGAGTATCAATCCCTTCTTGAAATTCAGCTTTAAGCAAAATTTTTATTGCTCCTAGATGAATTGTTGAAATTTTACTTCTTATAAGAGATGGAATTTTCTCTAGGTTTTTTCGTATTTCTGCTTGAGTAATTAAAGGCAGGTATACGGTTCCTTTAACATCTCTTATGTCTACATGCAATTCTTGCGTGTTAACAAAATAGAAAATTTCATTTTTTTTTTTTTAAGAAATTTAACATTGGAATGTTAAAGACTTCTTCCTTTTTAAGAATTAACTTTGATTTTTGAATCTTAGTTAATACATCATGTTTTATTGCCAAACTGGCTTTAAAACCTTTTTCATTTTCATTAAATGAAATTTGTGAGAGATCACTATTAGAAC